AATTACTGATGGAAACGGTGCAAATTACAACTCTGCAGACTGTATAGCGTGCTTAGTTCTGAACCACACCTTTAGAGGTAAAAGCCCACTCTTAGAATGCTGCAGACATTTCTTGTTCCCAAGATGCTGCAAACCAGAGTCCTGACATGATTAAAAACTCCAGATTTAGCTTCGTTTCTTGATGGTTCCTTAATGAACCAAATCCCTACAGCTCTTATAAACTGTCAGTCATTTCTCCAGGAACACACTGCTGTTCTAGAGAAAGGTCAAGCGCTTAAAACAACAGCTTTAGATGCTGGGGGTCCTTTTCCACATTTGGGGGACAAGGAGGACACTGAGATGGACTCCAAACTGCACTACAACACATCACCCATGCAGGAGAAGAAGTAACTGCATTACATTCATATGGAACCCTTTAGCTTTCCAGTGCAACTTGTGCACAGAAAGGCCTCTTGTACTAAGGTACTTGTGCTTGAAATACATTGATAATGAGAACAAATTAAGAGTGTGCTCTCTGATTATCAGATGATAAATTATGATGATTATCTTTGCTGCAGCCTTGAGAATTGCTTCCTCTCCAGCATTTAACTCCTGCTTGCTCTGAAGCTAGTCAGCATACCCACTAACTTCTCATACTGGAGCCCCCCAAAAAAGTGGCTTGTTATTTCTATGCAAGTCACATGAAGTTGAGGCACTACTGCTTCTATTAGGGACCACTTGAAAATACTGTTCAAGTAATAATAAATGAAATTTATTAATTGGTACAGCATGCAAAATCACGTCAGATCCTTGTCAGATTGTAGCTAGGAGGTTGTGCTGTGTGTCTCAAAGACATGTGGCACCCTGCAGTCAGAAGCATGGCTGCAGCACTTGAAGCCATCCCTAGGATGCCATCTGAACTAGCTCCCTGAGGTGCCAAACACAACATGGGCATAAGCTGCACGTTCAGCATAGTAGCTAGCTCATGCTGAGGTCTGTCAGTACTATGGCTTCAGCCAACTCTTGGTCAGCTGCGAAACAAGATAACTCTGACTGCTGTGCAGATACACACTTGTGTGACCTATGGCTCTATGACAGCCTCAGATCTCAGAAATACACACTTCTAGTTTCTCCTCTCTGGCTTCAGAGGTGTCTTGCTGGAGTACTGCGCTTGAAGGAGACAGCCCCTCTCCTGAACTGGGCGTATTGGAATCCCTTTCTCTTATTCTGCTTGGTATGAAGGAGCCAGAACAAAGATGATAATTTCTATTTCGGTGCTGGGATGTTTGCAATGACTATTGTGTCCTTCAAACCAGCTCATTCTAGGTGACAGCTTGGACAACACGTAGTGTTCCATGACAGTGCTTAGTAACGTTTTCTGGCCATCACTTTGATGTGCCAGTGCAATTGGTGGAGGAGCCATGCTGTGATCCTGGTGAGAGAGATATTTAAGTACACGTGTACATTGGTTTCTGCCAGATCAGCTTTCTGAGCAGATTAAGAGCACGACTGCTCTAACAGGTAGGTCAACACAACTGGCAGGGAGGTGGCAAATTGCAAAAAGAGTAACGGGTGGATGTGGTAACAGAGAAGGGAGAAAATGCTTCAGCTAGTATTGTTATAGAACATGTCATGTCACTGGAAAATAATGCATGGGCTTGCTATATTACTTGAGTTTAATCTTGATGATGTCACTGAGAAAAGCTTGCTTCCAGGGCTGGAAAAACTACTGCAATGTCAATAGAGGCAAATAATTTACCTACACAGTTCCAGTAAAGGATCAAGCTTTGAATGAAAAGGAAAACAAACGGATGAGATAAATCACAAGGAGGCTCTTTTTCATCCTGCTTTTTCGGTTTCTTGCCATGCTAAAGGTGCAGTGGGAGAGACTGCCTACCTAGTAATGATGGGTAACTGGAATCATCACAGATTCACAATTCTTAATACCATTTAAACCTATTGTGCAAGTACATCTAGTGACCTTGCCAGCAGTGAAGCTATCTTCAGGATTTCTGTCTTTCCCACAGGAAGGATGGCCATCCCTGCGCCTGCTGTCGCAAACGAACTACTGCAAATGTGCAAGGGGAAAGGGGATCTGTCTTTGGAGAGTCCCAGAGCTGAGCTGGGATTGGCTGTGGAGCTGTGACATCAGGGAGAAGTGAGAGACTAACCCCACTAACAGTGCCACCTCTTTTGAAGGGGTAAGGTGTAGCAACCTAAACAAGTATTGGGAAAGAAAATCAAACGATACCACCTGGGACAGAAATACTTAGTAACATCTAATGGCTTCTTTACACAGCTCAGAGATGTGCCAGGTAGTATAAAACATTGAATATGGAGGAGTCCCTGCCTGGAGGACATTACAATAGAAACAGACAGGAGAGGGAAGGGATTCAATGTACAAGCAAAGTGACAACATGATGGTGTGCATACAATGCTGGTCCCCCCAGAAACCAGCTGAATCTACTGGAATCCCCATACACTTGATTATGTAGATATTTTGAAAACAGAGTTGAAATACTTTTTCGCCAAGCTGTCTAATTTAAATTTTCATAGTAGTGCTCCCCAGTATATTGGCAAATTTCAGTCAACTCTCTGAAGGATATCTTATCTGTTGCAGAAATCCAGATTTATAGGTCTGTCTGTTCGTGCACCACTTCCATTCACAAAAACTCAGACAATCACAATGGTGATGAAATCAGGAAAGCAACGGAGGTGTCTCTGTGAAGTAATTTCTCTTCCATTCTTCCAATGCTTCAACACTTGCTTGATTTACAAAGTCCAAACTAGTTTTCCTTCATTCTTTTGTATCGTAACTTCCAAATCATCTCAAGTTTTTGCTCTCCTGGGGAAGACTGACTCACAACCAACTTTCAAAAGTTGGAACGCCATTTTTAAAATCCACCATTTGGACCTACTGTTCTTGTGCCTGGACTTGTCTGAAGTTGAGCATCTCTGATGCAACATACTCTATCCTACTAGGAAACACTTGCCTGGATATCCTCTCTTTAGTTAAGCTCACTGTGCCACAAACAAGTACCCATGAAAGCTGTTTGTGCCGACCGTAGCAGCAATGGCAATTTTTGGAAATGCTGTTCAGTATTAGATCAGAGTAAGGGAGATTTCTTGGTAAACAGAGCACAGGAGTAAAATCAAGACTGCAACAGGAATGCACAGTTTATAAGCCTCTCAGGCTCTGGATCAAAGTGTGCATGCCAATGAACAGGAGACAGCACGGAGCAGAGTGAGCAGAAAGACAGACTGCAGAAGTAAGACTGTAGGAAGCAAACATGAACATGAGGGAAGGATAGTGAACTATGTTTTGTAGAAAAGATACCTTCTAACCTAACTTTTCAGGTTGCCTTAACTTTTCTCTTTATGCCTGTTTTTATAATTCCTACATTACAGAAATTACTAAGCTAATAGATGCACATCAGTGCAAAGCAAGTTGACATTCCCAGGTCTTTCCTTTCCTCTGAACAAGTTGCAAGTGCAAAACTACTTTTCTAAAATGCTTTGCTTATTAATGTGATTTTGATTTGTTCTTTTCCCCACATGACTGGGGTCAACCGGTTTAGCACTGACAGCATGGTGCAGAAATGCAGACACGGGCACATTGTTAATTTGAGGAGTGGGAGAAGCCTTCTTCAGCAATTTCACAGAAAATGACATTAGGGAATGCAAAGTGCCAAAAATTTTCCCGTGAAGCCCTGAAAAAAATCTGCAAACTCTAGATGTCTCACACCACTCTGGCAGATAATAAACATAGAGCATATGGAGTCAAATGCTGTGTGTTCATGAAAACAGAGTCCTCTGTGTTTGACACCATGCAGAGCTTCTGAGGACATGTATGTAATTTCAGAAAAGATTTAAACTCTTGTTATTCAGGTGTTTGGATAACCAAGCAATGGACATTCAGAAAAAGGCTTATTTGTGAGCTGGCTTATTCCTTAATAAATTACACTATTTCTTGCTTATATCTTTCTCTGATGCAGCTTGAATGGGCAATTTTTAGGTTGATACTGTTCAATATTGTCTCTTCCCTGCTATGAACAAATTCGTTAATTTAGGTCCTGGAAACACTACTTCCCTCGAAGATTTATTCTCAAAAGAAAGGACTGTGATTAATTTTTAAGAAAGTGTTTTGTGATGCCTGATTTTGAATTTTTTCTAGATTTCCACTTCCCCCCCCCCACTACCCCCGAGGTGTGCACACCATGTAGAGATTTCTTTTTTCAGCCCAACCTCAACCTCATTCATTTAGCACTCACAGTCATGGTTTTGCAACTCTGCTGACAGAATCAGATAGCAGGAGGAGGAGGCTGAGTCGGCAAGAGGACCTTTTGTTTGCACATAAATACCTTGGTGTTATCGGAAAGAAAACAAGGAGTGAGCAGCATGCATTGTACAAAAAAAAAATCACAGCTCTGTTACTCTGCCTTTCCCCCTTTTCTTGCAGAACTCTAAGTGAGCCTCTGTGTGCAAGAGGAGGGCTGGCATGCAGAACAACAGTTGCTAACCTGGAGAAATACTGAGAAACGAGTTGTTCTCAGTAAGCAGCATTAAAACTCCACATAGGAACCAGCTCTTAAGGAAAGAAGTTTTGAAAACCAAACGACGAAGACGGGATCTAGAAGAACGGGATTTAGACACACATTACTGAGGTCAGAGTCCAAAACGGGGCATGCCAGCACTTTTCTGTGTATCTGTGCATCTTTCTGCCTCTTCAGTTTCATATCCAGAGGAGGGATTTTCACACCAGAGACCAAATCAGCAGAGAACTTAGCGCAAAGCTGCACACAAAGCACCTGCATTTAGCAAGACATAGTTCCTTTTCTGTTGTTTTGTTTTTGCCAAAGATACACACATGAACACAGTGCCCAGACTGTACTGCCCCAGAGAGGCAGATGCAGTGTTGGCCCTGAGTGGGACAGGAGCACAGTTCCTCTGCATCACAATTTCTAGTTCTTTCTCAAATTCAGGTCACCGATTGAGTTAATTTTTTAATTTTTTTTGCACAGCCTCCATCTCCACGCAACACGAAGGATCTTCAAGGCTCAGAGCTTGAGAAATGCCTCTCCCTGCAGCTTCCCCAGTGGTCTGGTGGGTCCCAGAGCCTGCGAGCACCAATGCACACACACTTCTGATGACTCTGTTAATCTCCACTAAATCTGGTTCCTCAGACATTCCTCAGGACATTCTCTCTCTCGCTATGGGGATAAGGAGAGGAAGACAAAATCATTTGGGTTCTTCTTTTTGCATGGCAGAAAGATCACACTGTTTTTTTCAGTCTTTGCCTTCTTGCTTAAGTAATGCTACTCGTGGTTATCTTTTAAGCCTGGGAAGGAGTGACTTCAATAAAGCAGCATTAACACACTGGATGCACCCTCAGGGTGTGCACCCAATCCAGAGTTAACACTTCTCCTCAATTCCATTCATCTGACTGTAACCTCTGGCTGCCTCTGGACAACTGAGGCAGAGTCAAACCCTAGCTAGGAAAAATCCTCATGAACATGTCGTGACCATTAATTCAATCCACCCAGCTGAATGTTAACCAAGTGACCAGTTAATGCCTGCTCAAAGTTTTGAAAATACTGGCTTGGAAAGCATGTCTGCATCTCCTGTGAAAATCAGTGGTAATTGGTAATCTTAAAAATTTAGCTGCAGTGCTAAGAGTAGTATGCAAGGCACCAAAAGGGAGAGGAAAGTTTCTCAGAACATCAGAAGGCTCATATTGCTAATTTTGAACCTAATGGCTTCCATTTGTGTTAAATACCAAAACACTTCATGAATCCTGACACATTTTTGTGTTTGGAAAAATCTGTGTAAGATTAGATGCTGCTTTCCTGTGTTTCCCTTTGGCTCAACCAACTGTGAGCGTGTATTTAATCATAAGAGGTAAGAGAAAGAGAGCAGCACACCTTGACCAGGCAGGCTGACTTGGGCTGAACAGCAGGAAGAGTTTCTTCTTCCCTTCTCACTTCAGAATGGGAGTCAGGATGGAGGGACACCAGTGCCTTCGAAGAAATCAGGGACTACTTCTGTACTCCTGTCAAAGCCTAGTGGTTTCTTTGCTCCCTTTGCTTGCTAGAACCCACATGAAATTGTAAAAATGGTACTGGGATACCATCAGGGTGCTTATCCTGTTCAGGATTCTTTTCATATCTCTGCCAACCTCTTAAAAAGACATAAAAGAGGAGACAATTTTTAATCTCCTTTCACAGTATGGTTGCCAACATGGCAGGCTAAAACTGCATGGTATGAGCATTCAGTATGTCCATAGCTGCTATTCCCTAATTGGCAGGCATGGTGGGGAGGCCTTTTGCTTGCCCTGATAAGGTCATTTGCATAACTCTACCCCAGTGGCTTTGCATGTATTTTTTCCCCTCTTCTTTGCATGTATCTTTTCCCCTCATAAGTTCTCAGGCATTTCTCCATATGTCAGAGAAGCACTATGAAAACCTTATCTGTAGTTAATCACAATATTCATTCTATTATACACTTACTAACTTATTTTTATTTCTTGTACAGAAATACATTCTGGTAACTCCATTCTTACTTATACAATGTGAAATAAAGAAAATTGTGCTGTTAATGCAAAAAGAATTCTGCTTTCTCTGTATAGGTTCCTTTCACATTCAGTCAGAGTGGCTGTGTGGTTTTTTTTCTGCTTTTAAAAGAAAGCTTCCTAATTACTTTTGTTTAAAGTAATCGAAATTTGTTCAAATTAAAAGCAATTCTAAACAAAAGCATAAGCAATATTCATACCTGCATTGTCAAAATTGAGATAAATGTAAAATTGCAAAGCTACCCTCATAAATAGCGGATTGAATATCAACATGCATCAATTTAAGTAAATATGACATTGAAGTAATAAACAAGACACTCAGAGCTGCATGGGTTAACCCATACTCCTGTGAGCAGTTCCAGTGATTTTGGTGGGATGTCTCACTTGGATAACTGCCATTCAGGGAAAGAAAAGGCTGAAAAAGTTTGTTTTTCCTCTTAGTTTGTTTTTTTTTTTTTAAATACACATTCTTAACTTGGGGGGTGTGTCTCCTCAATTCCAAATTTATTACTCTGAAAAGGATTATGCTGAAATTTGGACACATTTTGAAGTTCTTCCTAACAACACAAACCCTTGCCCCTTGTTTTTCATGGCAGCTTAAAAATATCTAGTATCTTTAAACCAGTGGGACTGATGCCCTGTTTGTACAGAAAGACAGAACTCAGTTATTTCCCTAACTACAGCAGCTCATACAATAAGGCCCTGGTCCATGGGAAGGGCCAGGACATGCTCTCCAAGTTGAAATCAAATGATCTTCACCATTCAATTCAGTAGGCCTACATTACTACTCTGAATAATTGTCCTGTCTCAGTTGAAATCATAAACCAGGACCTTGGTGTGCTTGGCAATGCACAAACAGAAGAGAAATGCTATTTTTGTCCAGAGAGTTTCCCTGGATTGTAATCTCTACGCAGATCTATGAAGAGGATGTATTTGATTGTTTTTTTTTCCCCAAATCCCCAGCTAAACAAAACAGAAATGATGGGGTAACACCATGGATTTTGCTATAGGAGGCAGCATTTTGGTTGAGGGAAAAAGAAAAAATGAGAGTTCACAATACTCAGGAGAATGGTGAGACCCTAACAAAGTTTGAATATGCAAAATCAGATCCACTGAAAAAACAAAATTGAAGAAATTTGGAATATTTCGATGTTGGCATTGATCTATCGCATTCAAGATACAACCTCTCTTTGGTGCTTCGGTTTCATAACACCTATTGTAAGGTTTACTTTGAGTGTTGGGGTAAGACAGATTTTGGGGCAAGCAAAATTTTCCATAATTGTTAGGAGAATCGGTTTGACAACCAGTTCTAAAAGCTCTTTTTTCCAACTGAGAATATTTTGGAATAACAGTACAAATATTACATTGTTGACCTCTTCTTAGAAGAAATTTTTTTAAAAGACACTACTTCTACAGTGTGAAAGTTTACTGACAGATAAGGTCTATTAATGACTTCACTTCTGAGCTTTATTATTTATATTTACAAATTAATAGTGTGAATTTTCAGTCCATTAATCTGCCAGTTGGGTCATTTTTTGCAGCCTTGAGCTGTTTCACTTCACTGAAAATATTTAATAGCCAATCTGCAGTGAACTTGAGTTTTCCCAATGCTTTACTATGTTTACACAATATATCACAAATTTCCTAGTGCATTATTAGCATTATAAATTATTAAAATGAAACTACATTTTTTTGAATGAAAAATACAGTGTTTTATCCTTGACTAACCATAGCACACTTACTCAGTTTGTCCAAGTACATGTGAAGATTATGTCTATCTCCACAGCATGGTAAACACTTTACAAGCACATACCCTTCTATGTAGATCTCTGAACAAAACATCTTTGGACCTAAAAGGGATTTAACCCAAAGCTTACTCCTCAATGGAAGAGTTTACTCATCATTTGAACGATATTAACTACAGGTCTTCTCATGAATGCATTTCCAGCTTGATAGGATGGGTTTCTGTTTAGCAACCTTTGCATTGTCTCAGTTGAGCTTCCCAATCCTCCAGCTCCAGCCTGCAAAGCACGTATTGGATGTCTGCTGGCTCTCCCCCTCATTTTTTTCATCTGGTAAATTACATCACAGACTGCTAAAAATAATAATAAATACTTCCCTACTACCCCAGGTAAACAGCTCAGTTATTTGCCACAGAGATATTAAATATGAACATAAGAGAAAGTAGGTCTCCGTGTTGAAAAGGAAGAAGCTTCTAGCAAGGAAGACACCGGCCAAGGAACCAGGAAAACCCAAGTTTAGCTGCAGGCCTCCTCTGTGATTTGGTACAAACCACTTGTGTGTACCAAAGAGTGCCCACGTGTACTGAAGGCAGACAGGAAGAAACTCTCCCACTCTTCAAGACAACCATTACAGTGCAGCCGTAGTTACCAAAGCTGATGTGGTCACTGATGATCTATGAACTGCAAAAACACAGCTCATGCTGAGATATCAGTGAGCAGATCAAGAGTCCCTGTAGGCTTAACAACTTTCTCCTGCAATTATACTCTCCCCTGACTGAGGTTCACCCCCTTTCCTCTTTATCAGTATTTAGCAAAGTTATTAATGCATCCCCTGGAGTCCACACTTTGCTGCATGTGTTTGATGCACATGCAAAGGCCATGTAATTGAAGGATCAATGTACACACCAGCAATGTTAATTCTGATATTTCCTCATCTTTAAAACCTTAGTAGCTATAACGCAGAATAAATACACTGAGTGTAACTTTTTCTCTGTTTTTTTAAGTACCAGTAATGGTGAAAAAAACTCTCAGAAATTCCATCACGGCATCATAATGAAACCTCCATGGGTCAGCAGGAGGAGGGTTAGCACTTTTAGATCCAACCCACAGACCTCTGCCACTTTTTGCTAAAGGGACAAGTGGGAGCAGCAGGAGTATACCATCAATTTTTATAGGAACCAACACTGTCAGGAGGGCATGAGGCACCCTGCCATAACCCTGACTCATTTTTCCAGCAAGTTGTGCAGCAGCAGCTATGTACATGACAGCAGAGCGAAGGCTAGACTAAGAAATCTGTCCTTCTAGCTCAACTTCACATCCCTCTCTCCTGAGTTCTAATTGTGCCAGTGTGCAATGCCAACATCCCTGCCCAGTCTCCTTGCTCCAGGCTCTTCCTCCTACCTCACCCCAAGTTAGACTTCTCTCCCATCCACACACCCCAGCAGTGCAGTACTGAGAACACAGGAGAGGCTACTTCTCTTCCTTCAAGTCTGTTCCAGACCTTAGGGCACTAGACATTTTGAGAGCTCAACACCCATGTATTGGTCTCTGTCCTGGCAAAGAAATTACCAGTCACAGCAGTTAAAAAATAGACAAACTATCGAACACAAGTTCTTATACTGGGAAGTGTCTGGAAGCCTGATAAACAAGTGGTTCAACCACTTACCCCAGAAAAGAAGCCTGTCATTTTTCCCGGAAACACAACATATAGGGACTGCTGACCATAACCCTGAAGCTGTTTCTTTGCTTCTTTCTCTGGAGACCTGAGACCCAGCAGTGCCTCACTCCTGTCTGCCCCATACCTGAGAAGCAGCATTTGCAATTTGGGGTCCCCTGTTAGCCAAGACTGGCTGGCTGGACCAGCTGGCCAGCCTGCACATATTTATGAGTCAATTCCATTAATCAAACCACAACAGTTGAACAGTTTGAACAGGCTGAATAAAGGTTATATTGAAATTATGCCATATTGAAAACTAAAAGCTTAAGACATCTGCCTTTCCTAGTCTAGGGGGAGCAGACCAAAAGAGATTCCTTCAGGACTTCACAGTTCAATTTAATTTGATCTTAACCTGAATTTTTAAAGTAAGACAAACAGAAAAGAAATGAAGCAAATGAAATGCCTTCGCTAGATTCAAGAGGCTGAGCTCTGAAGAGAAACAGGAACATTAAGGTCAAAATGTCTGGAAGACTGTTCTCTTTTCCATCTTCTGGCAAAAAATTGCCAAAGGTTCCTGGGATAAATCAACATACAGAAGAATTAATGCAAGCAAAAAACCCTATTGGGTAGGCAATATTTAGGCAACAGATCACAAATGAAGATGAATACTACCAACAAGGAGGCTTAAGGAATGTTACCAGTAATGAGTAACTTTTGTGTGAGGAATTGTAAAAATCATTGTATGGCACAGATGAATTCAGCAGACAGCATGGAATGCTGACATATTTTAGGGGCAGAGGGAAAAATTTGAAGATTTGAACAGGACATTGTAGAGAGTATAAGAGCAGAGGGGATAGCTTAGTGAGAGGGAAGCTCAAAGTATGGTTTATGGGGCGGGTACACCTCTGGGCTGACAGACTGACAATTCTCAAGTCCTACACTGATCTTGACAGAGGAGATGTCAATAGGGTCAGAAAGAAGCACTAGCATCACAACATTGTACATGAGGGGAGTAGTTCCCCTGTCCTATCAACCCCAGATCACTCAAGACAGTGGTTGACTCTTCCTGCCGCCCAATCTCCTACGGCAGAAAGTGCCAGGTGACGACGCTTCCTCAGCTGCTGCGGTTTGCAGGCTCCAATGTCTTCCTTATCTGCCCCCTGCAGCCTCTCCTCGGACAGGAAGCTTCCCCAGAGTTTTCCATCACAGGAAATTTCCTGTGGGGAAGCACTTAGTGAGCAAACAAAGAGTTCCTTGGTACGAAAGAAAAGCGAACAGCTGTAAGAAAAAAACCCCAATGCTGAAGCAGCAAAGGCAAGGGCATCAGGTCACCGGACCCAAACTCTGTGAGGAGAACCACACTACCTGAGAGGCAAAGAAATAACAAGCAAGACCATTATATACTGAAGTTTGGTTCACAAGGCTGAAGTTCAAATGTTACAGTCTGCTTCTATTTGGCTTCTCTGAAGATAGTCAACAGCCTTAATGCCACATTTAACACAGGGCTGCAGAGAGCACAGACAACCACCTCAAGCACCATTTCAGTGGCACTTTCTGTGGCACCTTCTCTAG